TGCAGAATATAATGCCACTGATGTGTGTATTTTTGAAAGAATGAACAATGAGGCAGATGCTGCGTAGATCCTTTTCTCTGAACATATATATTAATAAATCATGCAATCAATGAAAGCTACAGATTCCAATGAGCATAATTAAGTCTCATGAAATCTTGATATAATGTACCTGAGCTCTTCCCGACCACCCAGACACACATGGATATACAGGTATATAAAAGTACTTACAGACAGGTAACACTGCTGCTATATGGCACATGAGCACAAAGATAGCCCTGGAGGGGTGAATTCTGGGTACTGTAGGCTGAGCCCACGTCCAAAGTGTGACCAACACTTGGTATGAGTGCTGGGTGGGACGAATAGCATCTTCACACCTCTCACCCCCCCCCACACACACATCTACAGGTGCTTGTGACACTTTGAGAATTGACCCCCCTCAGTGATGCTCTGCGGGGAAGCCCTGAAACAGCTGCGGGACACGGCGAGCGACAAGAAACCTCAAGCTGATAACATGTGATGTGGGATGAACTCATCATCTTCAGCAGTCATTCGTCCTGGTTCTACACGTGTCAGCACCATGTGATCAATAAGGAGCCAGGCACAGACACTAGCTTCCATTGTGAGGGAAGCTGATTCCTCATTAATTGTGACGAACAATGTGGTCACAGAGACTGACTGTGTCGCACAACAAATTGTTATTAATGAGGCGGCTGTCTGTGTTGTACATGGCTTTTACTAATCACACACTCACTCATTCATTCGTTCATTCATTCATTCATACCTCCTTCCGACCACAAACCTGCACACACACACACACGCCGCTGGTACTCACTGAAGTCCATCACACACACACTTACAACATATTGCCTGGCTTCGAAAGCATATGTGGGCCGGCCCAGAGTCCTCTTCATTAGCTCTTTGTGACAAATGAGCGAGCGTGGTGATTGCTGCTGTGGTGGTCGTCAGAGAGAACATACACAGTAGCTTTGTCAATGAGAGCTCATAAGACAGCACTGACGTCGTAGAGCTCTTATACTGTACTCTTATCCAGTTATATCGGAAATTTGACTCCCGGACAGACACATACACGTGCACATATACAGTGACTGTGAATGGATTACACAGCTAATATGCAAAACTAACAGGAACTCCTACAGAGTCTCTTTTTAATATGCAGAGAGACGCAACACCACAACTCCAATGGTAAAACTATTTTAATCCCTGATGTGATGCTTTGTTCTCCTTTTATACGGTGGGAGAGGGAAACTTTCTTTATTTTGCTGCAGCTTTAACCACAGAGTAAAACTAAAAGTATGTTTTATATCTTGCTTTTGTTTTGAGAAATTGTTAAGTAGGTTTCTTCAGGGTTCACTAAATTAGGTTTAAGACTTTTTAGGAACCGTTGAAGTTAAAGTTAAATGCATTCAATACATGTTTCATGATCATACTGTCCATACTGAGTATGACAGCATGATAGAGCACCAGGAGCCAACATATGATATTACTGAGAAATATCAATTTCTTTCTCAACTTGTAATACTTTGCAGCAATACATAACTAATTCTTAATTCATAAAACTATAAGAATGAATTCAACCTGATCCCAGATAGGACACATAAAAATGGTTGTACCCTCCGTTTTATGAGGATAAATAATTTTAGATTTAAATTGGGTTCTTGTTAAACCCACACTTGCCCTTAATGGGTCATTGAAGACATTTCCATGAGCACCAATACTTCAAAGATTAACTTTATTATATCAATGAGACATTATTTTGATCGTCAAACAGTTGGTTTGTCGATAGGGTTGATCCTAGCCACAACTCCAGAAAGATGCTATAATGCGATTACGACGTACGCGTCTACATAATGTAACTAAGGTCAGAATACTCTATGTCTTAATTAGATTTTTGTTTATTCAGTGTATTTTTAACCTTATTCAGGATAAAGTCATCATGTTTAAATGAAAGTGTATAAACTTTTGTCTTTAAGTCACATTGATATCAGAATATTGGTATCCAATGTAAACATGACTAATGATCTTCCTAGCTACTGCAGCTAGAAGTAGTGACAGTGCTGTAGACTGACTCCACAATCCACTATTACAGCAATTCACACAGTCTGCAATCAGATCAGAAACATCTTATAATGAATAAGAGAACAGATTTAAGACCTATGTGAAAACAAATGATGACATTTTAAAATCTCTTAAAGCTTGTAAGACTTTTCAACACCTGCAGATACCCTGTTAAACGTAAGCCTTCCTTCTCACAAGAACAGAAGACACTGTAGTACTGGTGTTAGAGTATTAGCACTAGTTATCTTGATATGACCAGATGGAGGTGAGAACTGCTCTTACTCTACATCAGCAGTTGTTAAGAGGCATTAATCTAAACTCTCTGTGTCAGTGAGGCAGTGGAGCTCGTGTCCTAATAGGACCTCTTGTCATTTTACTGGATTAACAGTTGCACCATCTGTTGCCTTTATTTACCAATAATACACGTATATCGTAAATTAATAAAATGTACTCTAAATCTTCTAAACATCTATATACATGAAAAACATAAACAGGAAACTGTGAGACATGAAGAGGAGAACAAATCATTTAAATGTGTTGTTATGAGATATGGAAGCAATAATAATAAGAAGAAGAAGAATTAATTTAAATGGAGAATTTGATTTTCTGCTATGACAGTTTCTGACCTCTGATGGCCTCAAAAACATCATTCAACTTTATATTTGTGCATGAAATGTTACACTAAGGTCAAACTTTAATCTTTTGAATCTATGTTAGTTGAAAACAATGCATCAGATTTAACTTTGAACATTCTTTTATCGTTCTTCGAGTTGTTGCAGCACTTCCGCTGTGAGAAACAGGCACTTCCTGCTAGATCTGTGTGACGCTAGAAAAAAATACACACTTCCCTTTTTTCTGCTGACCTTCAATCGTTTCCTCTACAATACTCTCACACACTGCACTGCGGCACTGCATTGTTCTTTTGGCCTTTTTCAGACGTCATGTTAGCACCCATTCACACTGATGTTTTTACATTGGATACCTGCTACCCTCTCAAAATACAAGCATAAACAAAAAAAATCTATATTTGTGGGGCCTGGAAGGTGAGTTCCACCCATTCCTGAGGTCAGGGAGAGTTGGAGGGTGGGGTGCGGAACAGGAAGGTACGCAATGACCTAACCCCTGCCCAGCAACCCAGTCTGTACACACACTGACTGGACTGAAGAGGAACGGGTGACGTCACCCACCAAGACCCTCTGCTGGTGCTGACACAGCCGCTCTCCAGGAAGCCTTCTAAAATTACTTGGCCTTCTCTCTTCACACTGAAATGTCAGCTTGCTGCCATAACCACACCCCTGACTCGCTTTCTCTTGTGATATTAAATCCTCTACTTTTTCTCAAATCATATGCAAAATAAAAAAATGAAAAAAGTGCGTCCAGCAGAGAAGTGCAGGGGGGGAGCGACTGCTGTCTCCATGCTACTGCTCAGGGGTTTTGATAATTTCTGTCAAGAAGGAGGAAAGGTGGGAGGGAGGGACTGTCATTGTGAGCACGGTTAATATGAAGGATGAAGGGACAAGATGGAGAGACTGCTGGTGAGTCAGACAAGTACGATGAATTCACAGTTAAGCGCTACATAAGCATGCGAAGCACAAAGCCTGAGCACTGTATGAGTGAAGGTAGGTGAGGAGCCTGTTGTACTAATTATATAATTTTTCTAAGTAATAATAGCATTGATTTTGACAGCAAAATGTAAAAAAGCAGTTGTGGCTCAATATGGTCACACTGCTGACTTATAGAGTCACTCAGCTACTGGCAACAGAGGTAATATATTACTTCACTCATACAGAGTAGCAGGTACACAGCTCTGAGCTCATACAGGTGTACGGACACGCGTGCACAAAAGCTTGCCAGACACACACACACACGCACTTACCCCTCGCCTCAGGCTCCGGAGGCAGTGCATTTTGGGTTTGGAGGCCATGAAGTCGTTGAGGCGGTGGGAGAGGGGCTCCTTTTGCTGCTTGGGAGACTGGGGGTCGTTGGGAACAGCAGAGGGTGAGGGCGGGGATGAGGCTGGGGGGGCAGGTGGGGGCTGGTGGGGGGACGTTAACAGGGACATAAGCTACCAGTAAGATAAGGGAGCCGAGATGGACAGGAGGAGGAGAAGGAGGAATAAACATAGAAGAAGAAGAAAGGGGGCGAGAAACCAACGAAAAAAGACAAAGGAGGAGGGAACAGAAAACGAAATAAATAAGCCTCCGACAAATATTAAAAAATAATCACACAACAGAAAACCCAAACAGAACGTAAAAGACAACCGAAGGAACATCGAACCGAGTTTATCAGTAGTTATGTTGTGGAGAAAAAAATGTGAAACACATAAAACATAAAAAAACTGTTAAAAAGAAGAAAAACAACCAGAGTGAGTAGGCAGCGTAAATTGTGTTAAAGCAAGCGACGAAGCAAATAGCAAAGAGTTTCAGTCAAAGCACATGCAGATTTCTGCTTTAGAAATCCTTTTTCCCCTCCATTTCCCGACTCTGCAACATGCCAGCTCGGACGAGAAATTCACCACATCCCTGAGGATGCCAGCCGCTGAATTTGAGGTCATCATCAGAGACCGCTAATTGCTTATCTCAGTCCTAAAACATGTGAGTGCATAATACATGAACCAGTTTAGGAGTTAAGAATATGAAGCAGTGACGATTTCGAGGACACCACACTGTGCGCAAGCATGGGCAAGAGATTTAGTTGCCCTTAGTTACAAAAACAGAAACTGAGAAATCCCCATAGACCCTGGTTCTTTCAGAACAGTCATGGTGCTTTTATACTGAAATATCCACATCTATTTTTAAGTAAAGTGTTCTCATATACTCATATGCAGAGATACCTCTGTGTATGACTGTGCTCCCAAAAAATGAATCCTAAGTATGTTGGTTACCTATGTGTCTACTATAGACTGTTTATAAAGATGAACGACACGTCTCCACTTCTTCCCACTATCCAGAAATGCAAAAAATATCCCAGATATGAACGCTGCCATCTTGTGCTGATTACATCACAGTCTGCGCAGTAGTAATCGTGGTGTGGAAGTTTCGAGGTCACAGAGATTCATGTGCTCAAGTCAGTCTTGGGGTCAATCGTGACATTTGGACATAGATTTAAATGATATAAAATGTTAATTATATATTACATATATATCAATATATCAAACAATATGAACATATTGAGTAATAGTTGATGGCTATGGCTATAGATTGTATAATGTGATTTGTGAAAAGAAAGTAATTCAAAAAAGGGATAGCCATCCGTATTGAGGTTGTCTATATGAAAGGCGTAGCTTTTTTCATTCATGGAATGTGTATTATGTTTGATTTTTTTAAGTCAACTAAAATAAACTAAATAAAGTACTGTATGTGATAAATACTACTTAATTGGCTTAATTTTTAGCCGAAGATGTCGTCCATCTTTATATACAATCTCTGGTTTCTACAGATAAGAAAAAATACGATTCTGAATAAGTAGACAATGTGTATTTTATGATTGAAAGTTTGAGCACAAGTTTTTACACCATTTTCTGTACGGTCAGTGAGCTGGGGTTTCTCATATAGAACTACACACCCTGCTTCCATCCTTCCTCTTCCATACACACACCCAGTTACTCACTCATGCTCTGATCTAATTCAGTACCAACAGTGCCACCAGCCCGTGAGGCAGTCAGAGATCAGTTTATACTGTACAGAAGCAGGAAACTGAAGGAGGCGACTCGAGGCCCGATCACCAGTCAGTGGAGAGACGGTGGAGGAAGACTGCTAGATCAGGTTAATATCTGCCAGATGAGTCCATCCACAAGTTGAAAGTGGAAATGCATTAGTGTGTGTTACAGAAGGGAGGCTCCAAAATCAGTGAGTGTGATTGCCAGGGAGGAGAAAATAGGGGGTGGCAAATAATAACGACAAAAATGGCAATACTAACAGAGAACTGGCAAAAAAGATCTTCAGCCTAACAGAAGTCAAAGAATAATAATAGAAATGTAAAAGATACTACACTGATAGCATATTTGTATAGCCACTATTTCACGAGACAAAACCAACATAAAGTAACACAACCAATAAAAATCTCCCCAAAGCGCAACGTGACCTCCAAATGTGAGGCATTGCCGTACGCTTGAGCGTAAAAGTGACTCTTTGTTGAGTGTGCATTCACGTGTTACCTTGTTCTTGTTCTTAATGAAAGGCCACAGTTTGCCCTTGCTCTTGCCAGCAGGCCTCTCCTTGCCCTCTTTGGAGTTGGACAGGCTGGTGTCGGACGCCGTCCTCTTCATGGCCTGGCCGTAGTCCTCGAACTCCACATCTCCAGGGGGCTCGAACCCTGACTTGTAGGACTCCACCACCTGTTTAGAGTCCTGGTGGGGAACGGAGAGGTCACAGCAATCAGTGCCAAGATTATGTTTTCATCTGTGTGTCTGTTAATTTGTAGGATTACGCAAAAACTGCTGGATGGAATTCCACAAAACTTGGTAGGAGGATGCATTAAGGGGTCAGAAAAGAGTCCATAAAATGTTGGTGTGGATCTGGATCAGGGGGCAAAGCCAACACAATTTTTTCTCTTTCTTTAACATTGTAAGATGTTTACATCTTCATTGATTTCTCAGAGAATAATTCACAGATCTTCATGAAAAGAAATCTTACATTTGTACAATTTTGTGTAATTTAGTGCAAATCCAAATAAAAACCTGGATCTAGTGAAATTAAATGTGGTTTCTAATACTGAGACTGATGGACCTTGGCCTTGGCAGAGGTATTTGCTCTACTGACAGCCATTCTAGTTTTCTTCCATTTTCTTGCTTAAATTTTAAAAATATAATACTATCTTTTAAAAACTTTTTAAAAATATAAGCTATGTTTAAACACAGGGGTTGCTGTTTGTTCAGAAGATTGTCCTGCAGGTCTGGAGATAAGATGCAACACAATGATTCCTGTTGGTAAGTAGTTTCTGCCTGAAAACAGTTTGTGAGTGTACCATGAAAGGAGAGCGGCTGCCAATATTTTGTTAGTGGGCCACAGAAGAAAGAGGAAAAAATCTAAATCTGCAGGCATGGAACATTGAGGTCAGGGACATGACCACACTCTCCTGACACAGGAAGAAGCACATAAATCAAGTGGGGAGTGCTATCTGTGCTGATAAAGGCAGAGGGTCTGGTTAGAGCTATGGGATCAGAGGTTTTAAGATGTGCTGATGTTCACTGTATACATGAACGACAGAGAAAGGAAGAGAGACACAGAGAAGGCAGGAACATGTGATGTGTTATTCCCTGCTGTTGTTTACTGCAGCAGACAGTCACAGGCTGGAGTCATCTCCCTGGAGCCAGGCCATGCACACACATAGTATGTGATCCCTGGAGCTAATCTTGGTTTTTGTCATACGGCAGGCAGCCAACATGTGACATCTCAATATATCAAACTCTTAATTTTTTCAATTTTTCCCTTCATCGTTGGAGAATCTGGCCTTTTTCCTCAGTGTCCAAATAATAAATAAGCCATGAGACAGACATAAAGCCAATAACAGTATATTTCTTTTGAAGAAGTTTTATATGGAAAATAAAAGGAGCTTAAAACACTGTACTCTTGTCATATACTTTCCCTCAGGTTCTGGGACTATCATAAATAAGCTACACAATTCTTTTATATAATCAACCGCTCATAGTAATAAATTTGACCTAGGACAAACATGATCACTAGAAGTTTCCACAGTAGAATTTAGTCATGAGCAAACCAAGCTTGACAGAAATGCCTGTGTCCATCAAGAGTGAAACTTCCAAAGAAGGCCGACACAGCCTATACGTGATGCAATGCTCTCAAGTCAACCCTTTATATATTTTTTAATATTCTGTTTTAGTACAGGTCTAGTGTCCATTTCCCATAATGCATCTCAGTAGCATCTATTATTAGACTTCATCAGCTCCAAAATACTCATGTCTCTCCAACCTTTACCTCCAGTTTGTGATATGGGCTTCTTCGAAAGTTTCAAACCCAACCCATCATTGATGTAATCAGTCAAATCTCTCTTGAGACTAAAAGAAGATATCATGCAATTGTTTTCCCCGTCTAAGAAATACACAAGAGTAACTGAGCTTTCATTGTAAAATCAGTGGAACGTCCCTTTTATGGGGGAACTACGGTGTGTATTTTCAGAAACTTCAAACAACCACTCAGAGTAGTTCATGGGGGAAATACATTGTGTGCTCGCTGCTCATTGTTTTTCAACACATAGATTGAATCATTTTGGCTATTCTCTGATAGCTAAAACGCTGCCCTGCCACATCACTTTTTTGTTCACAGGTGGGTTGTTTGTATTTTTAAATAGGCCCCCATGAGACTCAACCCACCAGCACACTTGTTGCTTGAGTGAAAGCCTAATGGGCAGTGTGTGGGCTGTGACAGACAGCCTAGCTGAGTGAGTAATATGTCCCATATGATGGTGTGTGTGTGTGTGTGTGTGTGTGTGTGTGTGTGTGTGTGTGGGTGTGTGTGTGTGTGTGTGTTTGTGTCTCATTCAGTGTACTCACAGTCTTGGGCTCGATGGACTCCGCTGATTTCGTCATGCCGTCTAAACATTTCCCCACGATGGGCAGCACTTGGCGGTCAACATCTGCAAACGTCTTCATGCACACTCCTATCCGCTCGATTCTTTTCTCCTCCATGTCTTGAAGTTTCTACATTACAATTGGGACACATATTATTTATACGTAAACACATGCTTTACTGAGAAAGAGTACAGTTTGACTGGACATGGCTTACTTTGAAAATTATGCACTGAGCCAGCTTTAATTGAAAATGAGCACATGGTAAATCTTTGATGAATTTATTATCTTTTCATCCTTTATTGAGTGAAATATCATGAAGACATGATTATGAATATACATATATATATGGAAAGCCTAGTTTTTATATCATAAACACTGACTCACAATCTGTCAAAATAAACAATGCACAAATTAGCTGCACTCTGTAATACTGATGGTTTGTTATCCTCAGTGTTTCCCCACATGTTGAGAATTTATTTTTAGTTGTTGGACCAGAGGGAAGTGGGGGTGGTGGCCAGCAAACAGCACTGAATTCACAAGCCAACTAATGATTGCACACGAATGCACCTTTCTGGCCAACTTTTTAATCAGTGGGCACGTCCGGCTACATTTGCACAGCACATTGAAAGACAAAAATCCCCAAACAATACTTGGGTGGAGGCAAAGCTATTTGGGTGGGCAGGCTAAATAACTTGGTTACCCCAAAAACTGGTTGCTCGTTTGTTTGTGCAATTATCTACAACGACAAATCGACTGAAGCATGTTATATGTTATGGTGCTGTTGTTTTTACCTGGAATATGTTGGGGATAATTGTGTAGTAATGGTCATTCTGCTCCTGGTTGAACTTTTGCAGATAGGAGGAGTAATCGCTCTTACTGTCAGCAGCCATCTGGTGTCTCATCTGAGCTTGCTGTCGTGCCTGAAGAAAAAAGAACACAAACATGCACATCAAACACACACTCTCCTCACTACACCTCAGTGTTCCCTGATTAACACAGACATATGGGTTATACTCAAACACCCATACACGCACACACTCAGCCAGAGCATAACGATCCACATGGGTTGACACATTTGTGCATATGAGTGTTCATGCATGTACATATATACACAGAGGTCGTGGACGCACGGTCACAGCTGCACATCGACGTCCGACAGCAGCAACAGCCTTTGGCATTAGATTATATGTAGGCCAGGACAAACATATAAAACAGTAGCCTGCAATGGCTGCAGAAAAAGGAGGGATTTGGATTTCCATTGCCCGCCCAGTCTAGCCTTTCTTTACCAGTGATAATGTTGATTATTTTAAGCTAGTTCCGTCTTAAGAAGGGTAGTGGGCAGTCAGAAACACAGCGGGAGCAGCCTATTACAGATCCGTTGCAAACAGATGGAGATGAGATTATCTCAGCTAGACAGCATGTGTGGTGTGTGTATGTGCATTGTGTGTATGTGTGTGATTGTGCAGCTAAGTACTCATATCTGTTTCCTCTTTCAATGAGATCTGAGGCCTGTCCACACATAAATCGTGGTTCAATTGGTCTTTCTGTAACAGAGTCACCTTATGAACCTGTGATTGCAATCAACATTCATTCTGCTGACTGCAGATGAAAAAAATAACTGGAGCCACGTTACTGTGTGGAACATAACTCTGATCTGTCCTAGTCCTGAGAGAAACATTTAAAGGACTTCATCCTAACACTAACACAAATATGGGTTCGTTATAGATGACATAGCAGAAGAAAAGGAGGATGTCAGAGCCAAAATGCCCGTCAGACACAAAGTTGCATTATATCCGGCACATGACGGATGACAGATAATACCTTGGTGGAAAATGATCGTCACAGCTTGCAAAAAAATAGCAATCCAGGGGAAAGCTAAAAAGCACATGTGAAAGTCCAGCTGTTTTAAATCTACGTGAGCATGCAACCATGGATATGTGCCTTACTGGTGTAGGTGCATGCAAAGTGTTATGAATGTGTTGTGTTGAGAAATGATGACGGTAAAGAAACGTCGCTATGGTAACCTGGCAGATGACAAACCCACAAAACAAGCCACTGTGCTGCAGCCACATCACATCCTGTTGTCATTTGATACTGCTATGCTATTACACACACACCAACCTACCTACCCCTCTAACAATCTACCTCCCACCTACCTATTTACCACCCTACCTAACTACCAATATACTTACCTACCTAAATACCTTCCAATGTTTAGCAAACTACCTACACATAGATATACCTCTCTACCTACAAATCTAACAATCTTCCTATCTACCTTCCTGTGTACCTACAAATTTAACAATCTACATACCTACCTATGTGCCAATCTACCAATCTACCCACCTACCTACCTATCTACCAACGTACCACCCAATCTAGGAACAAAACTGAGAGTGGAGCACACAGAGAAAGTCTGAGTGAAAGTTAGAAATGTGATCGCTCGTTTATGTTCCGTTTAAATTTACACTACACATATAAACCTCAGAGTGACACAGTGTTCAGCAGAAGACAGAGCGGCAAGCCACTGATCACGGGCAGACAGGACAGGGCTGTGTTAACAGTGACATCTGGTTGAGGCTGTATTGTAGAGACAGTGTGCGATCCCACAGATATAAAAGACTCTCTGTCCGCTTGACCTACCTTGAGGGAACTTCGCTTCAAGGCATAGCACAAAATAACACACACACACATAAAGAAAAAGAAGTTTGTTAGCCGTTTCCAGCTAAACAAGAAGTTGCCATAGATGCACTTCCTAGACCACCAGGCCTATCACGAGTCAAAAGGGGAAACTGGTATCAGGGTAAACAAACAGTAGCAGCAAAAACACTGGTGTTACTAAACACCTTGTTTTCTAAAAATGCAGTACAATGTTATTTCTTAATAGCTATATGACTGGGAATCTTCATAGTTGGGAAGTTTGTGAGTGTGTGTGTGTGTGAGGGCCAGGGGTCCCTCTGAAAACTGCAAGCTTTTGTGGATGTCTGGTCAGTGACTCCAAACCTCAAATTATAGGATTTAGTTTGCCAGAAGAGAAGAGGGAACAGTTAGAGGTTTGCTCCAGCTGAGCAGAAAACCACAATACCTCAACTCGACAAACAGCAGCTCTTCTGCATTAGTGAGAGACATCAAATTACACAATGTTAAACCCCTGGAACTTAGCTTGTCAGAACATATCTTTATTGGCAGTTTCCTCCAAATTGTAAGCGACAAGTAAATTTGTTGAGGAAGCAGAATAATATAATTACTTTAATAGAAGTTTATTAAATTCTATTGGGGCCTTAAGCTACACAATACCACACACAAATATGCCCATATTCATGTTTCTGCTCTTTTTCTCTTCTCCCATCATGCATCTGTGTTCCAGACCTACTGTACTTACACTCAAGGCATTAAATACGACCAAAAGTAGTCTGAGGTTGTTACATGTCATCCTATCCGGTGATAAATACTTTTAATAGTGACAGGGATATGCCTACACAAAGTAAAAAACACACTGAGATATAGTTCTGTTCTGCGGCTTAGTTTTATGACCAAATTTATTTATCACATCAAAATAAAGTGAGCACTTGACCATTAACGCTACTTAAATCTGAAAATGATGTACCAATGATGGCACACTAAAGATGTACATAAAACAAACATGGAAAACTCACATACTATTTCATACATGTGCACATTCACACACTTTTCCAAGAAACCGGTTATAAAATTAAAGTTGATAGAATCGATGCCACCAATATATAACAAGGGAAATTGTACACAAATGAAGTACCTGTCAGGAAAACACATGTAAGAGAAGAATTTAAAAAAAAAGTTTTGTACACTGATCCAATCATTGTGCCTGATATGAGGGATTTCTTCTCTATTATAAGCTCTTTATTTTTGAACAATAGAAATTGAGTGAGTAGGCGAAAAAGTGAGCTGAGGTCAGTCGCAACACCCACACAGAGAGGAATAACAAATGAGAAAGCTAATATTTGACATTTTATCACCTCTATTCTTTGTAAGAGCTTTTTTTTTTTTTTTTTAAAAAGTGAGGATGTTCTAGATGATTCTGAGGCTTATCTGAAAGTGAGATATTGAGCATCACATTTACTACTATCACTATGCTGGTCAAACCTTAAGAGGAAATTTGTGTGTGCCACTGTCTCTAATAATGAGTCATAACTTAACACCTCCACTTTAGAGATTTGGAAACTTCTCAAGTTTACCAAAACACAATATTTTTACTCAAGCACATGAAATGGCTAATCACTTTGTCTGGTCTTTCCAACTCTACTTCTCAACAATGAAGGAGTGCAAAATTATTTTAACCAGTGGTCAGAATGGCAACTTCGATGAGGGTAAGATCTGGGTGATGTGTCACAATATTCCTTTTAAAAAAAACAAAGAAAGAAAGAACTAACTAACTCAAATCTGGACATTTAAAATGGATCATGTGGTTGAAATTAGCTCTGACATTTTCCCAAGAATGATCTGGTCTGTGGCCCACCATGTTCTAATTTATTCCACCACAATTTCATAATGGGCCAAAAATATATTACATCTCTTGGTTAGTGTTTTGCTTTGGTTTATTACTTGGCTGCTGCGGCAATTTTTGCCTTTGCTTGGTCTCACCCACTCTCAAGCTTGCACTATTGTCCGTAAAGTTTCTACCTTACACGGCGATAGTCAGACCTCATAGTTTCAGCTACAGCTGTGTTCATACCCACGAGTGGCCTTCAGAGTAGCTCTCTCACATGCCAGAATTCCTTTTTAACTCTAATGTCTGTATACCTGTCATTTAGGCTCTGTTGTATTTGACAGCGAACTGTATGTGCTCGGAGGTGCACGGTTGCTACCGCCACAGACTGCATCAGGTCTGTGGAAAACACTGGCTGTTTTTCATCCTTAACCCAAAAACTGAAGACAGTTGTCAGCAAAAATGTAAGTAATGCACATTTTGCCGTTAAAAGTATGAGTAATACATTGGGCAGTTTGCAATGTGTGGTTGATAACAGCATTTGTGCTATGTAAGTGTGTGTGTATAGAAGATAGTGATTGAATGTATGTAATGTAAGCAGATACTGTACTGATACGTGTCCAAGATGAATTTCCTTCTGGACAATATATTCTATCTTATCTGATTTTCTATTACAGAGTTGTTTACACAAACAGTAATAGTTAGTAAATGAAATGCAAAAAAATGTAGATTTGTTTCTCTTCCTTTACAAGAATTCTGTGTAATGTAAGAGTCTTTCATGCTTCAATAAATGGAACAACTGTAATCAGAAACAACACAGCTCTTGTTTCGAGACCATTTTTTGAGCTGCCGTGCCGGGTCTTTCCAGTTGAGTTCAGTGTTAGCCTGAGCCCACTGTAGCTCTCTGGCTGAGCGCAGAAAGACTCTTTATTCCAACCTGTATTTGCATAATAATCGGGTCTGAACTGTGTCGACTCTGAGCTGCAGCCCTGCTCCAACAGCTGATGAAGCAGCAGGAGCACGCGCTGCTGACCCATGATGCCTTGCGGGCGTGGGAGCTGTGTGGGTTAAGGGCTGAGGCTTTGAGGGCTCATTTAATTGGTTATGACAACAGGAAATGACATCAGCTACGAGCCCTAGGGGCTCTGGTGTACAATTCCTAAGAGTTGGATGTTTGCTGCATGTGTTGATTTATCATAGAGTACGTATCATCACAAAATCACCAAAGTACAAGTTTAAATTTGTCCCTGAGAAAGAGAAAGTGAAAAGCCATCTCTTTATATAAATAATCCATATACACATAAACACACAACCAGACACAAGCACTGCCATAGACACACAGTCTATTCCTTTCTGTTGCTAAGCAGAGTGTTTTGGTGGCTGCACTACAGTGATAATGAGGACCCGGTGCCACGATCAGCTTTGTTTAGCAGCAGATAACTGCGCCACTGAGACAATACCAGCTTTTACACATGGTCACTCAGTCTTTACTGTCTTTTGAAGCTCAGTGGAATTAGAGTGTGGGGGCATGGAAAGGGGGCAATAAATGCAAAAGAAAAAGAGTGAAAAGGTTGGGGAGGGTGCTTGTTGGGAGAGTGAGGAATGCCAGGCAATCAAAGGGCAAGCTGTGTTTTAAGCATGGGGCAAGCTTGTGTGATTGGTGCCCGCCGCACGAGATGACACATACCTTTTCCACATCAGCCTTAGTCACGTTAATGTCAGCATCCATCTTCTCAAAGTATTGCTGTGCTCTGTCCGCCTCTTTGCAGTCCCTCTCAAACCGTCTTTTACACTGACGAAAAAAAGGAAAACCAAATGTAATATGATCATCGACATTGAATCAGTAGCTGTAGTAGGAAGCATCATATAACTTGACCTTTGAATAAGCATAATAATAGACGTCATAACATGTACACATACGCCATAAACATTTCAGGCCCAGCATTGTGTGACTGAGATTAGTTTATGTCACTGAGACAGCCTTTGGGTCTGATTAAACAAATGCTCATAGTGGTCATTTGTGTGCAGAAAAACAAGCATTCATCCAACCCTCTTTCGACCCCTCGAACTGAACAATCAGTGTTTGTTGGGCCAGCGTGCACTCTGAACTATGCCTATCGGCCTTGCACACACACACAATGGGATCATTGAACTCGCAGAGAAGTTGCAGGACAAGGCGGGTTATGCTTCTCTCTCACACTCTCTTTCCCCACCAAAGGGGCCAGGCAGAGATAAGAAGTGGTGGTGGTTCTGTGCAATCTCACGTTTAGCTCTTAAACTAAAATAAATAACACAGACACTCCTGGACCTGCTCTTATCTAGTTTTAGTGGCAGAGCAGTAGTAAACAATGATGTTTAACAATCTACCCAAGTTTGGTCTATAACTGATGATTAAAACTCACACATCTGATATTAAGGGACACTTCAGTGTTTCTGAGGCAGTGGTCCTTTTTATCTAGATTTACCTCAGCCAGTATTTTTTGTTAGTTAGCCGAGAGTTGTCGTCTTCATACATTCTTAGCATAATCACTGTGTCATCCAGGCAGCAGATGACACAGACACATTGTGCAATCACACATCACCAAACAGTTAGCGGATCTTCATTATAATCTTATTCAAACTGTATTATTTAATTTTAATGTTACGGTCTGTAGTGCCTGTTAGTCATATAAAAGTCTACTCTGTCTCTGTTTCAAGCAAAAGAAATGAATCACTGAGTTTGAGGACAGATCATGGGGTCCCTCGGGGCTCTCTACACAGCCCTGTTTTTTTTTTCTTGCACAGAAGCTTACTACTTTCACTTGAGAAAAAAATCCAGCTCTCTTTTTCTGAATCAACAACATAGATCAAAATCTTTGTACTTTCCGTCTGAACAATCCCAAGTCCCCAGGTGCCTGTGCAAGGCCAACAAATGAATAACGCCATCCAAATTTCGTAATGGCACATGTATCTCCCAATGTCTCAAACCAAAACCAAAATAAAACTAGTTCACACCACACAGGGAGATATTTGATTCACCTCTCCTAAACTTGACTAAATTATATATTCCCTTAGAATTCTGTGGTAAGCGATCTGATTCATTCAGAAAACAAGCTAAATCTTCTTCTTGTGAAAACTTTACTCAGAATTTTGAAATAACATCGTCATTAAAAAAAACAGCAGATGTTTTTTTCTCAGATTCAGATTTAATAATCGGATTTGTTACTGGATTTATGCTATTTCTAAATACTAATACTAATATACGTCCTTACTTTTTTGTATATCTTAAAATTTGCAGGTTATTTATTGATTTTGATTGAACAGATATCAACTGAGTATCTGCTATTACTTGCTGTTGCAACAGTCGTTTGTCAACAGATCTTAAGGTGGTGCAGAACATTTATTTCAAACACAATGATATTAAAAACGTTAACCTGGGAATAAAATAATGAATGGATAATAATAATAAGTGTATTAAAAAAATAACACTAGACATGAAGTTGCACCTTGTGACTTTATTGATAAATTGAACTGCAGGAGGATGTCACTAATTTAGTTACTTATGTTCTAGTTTTGACTTGAGGTGTTACCGAAGCTATTTGTGAACCAAGGGTGATACTGTGCACTACACACTCACCGATTCCAGCTGTTTCCATGAGCTCTCAACGTGCTGCTGTGCCTTACGCCCATCGTGGAAGTGCTGCAGAGTTGGAGAAAGGAAAGATAAAATAGAATGATTATCACACTCTTCACAAGCTTCAGGGATTTGAAAGCAGGTAAACTTGACCTTGACCTAGTCAGGATAATAAATTAAAAGCAATGGGAATGCAGGTCTCAACCATACCATTAGACACCATGCATATTACTTACACTGTGACAGATAAGTATTAATGTGAAATAAGTAAGTAGGGCAAATTCAAATAGATACTATACTGTGACTACATTACAAATTATGATGGCATAAACCACAGGATTAACGCCCAGAGATTTGTTCAAGCTGCAGCAGATGGCTATAAGTCTATTTGATTAAAGAGCAACCACATTTTATCCCAACAGTTCAACACAGGTGCAGAAGAACTGTGTGTCTAACACTAAAACACATTTTAGCACCATTAATAAAAACCTACTGAAGTTGAAGGGAAACTTTACCAAAGTAAAAAAGGTTAAACATACTGGAGATCAAGTAACCATGATGGGCAAGGGACCAGTTAGAGACACAGAACAGATGTTGTTTAATGTAGCTATAACATCTCATCTCTCAAGAGCATGAAGCTGATGACTTGTGTTGTGTTGCTGCATACATTCAAGAAACACGTAAATCAGTACATGTAACCATGAAATCTATGCAATTCCTTAACAAGGAATATTAAAATAGAAAAGGTTTGCAGTAAGTTTTTAATGTCCCTGAGGATACAATACAACACATACATACACACATTAGCTTCAGTCCAATGAGTAGTCATATATATAGATGCATGGCAATGTGGGAGTTCCCCTAACTTTTTCTCAAAAAGGCCACTATGAGGATGACATTTGTGGTTTTGGGTGACATTTCCCCTGACTTTTCCTCCAGAGACATCATTAGATACAATGTTGAATTGTCCAATGAATGCACTGTATCTATATAGTGTTTTTCCATTCGTATCGACTACTACATCAGCCTCTCGTGTACTTTGATTTTATTGTGAATAGTAAGCATGGTAAACATTATTCCTACTTAACATCAGGATGTTAGTACTGCCATTGTGATCATGTTGGCATGATTAAGAACATACTTGTTTTGACTGCTGGTTCATGTTTTGGCATATGTCTGCCTCTCAACAAACATTTGATTTAAGTTATAGGTCTGTATATGAATGGCAATAGGGACAGAAAATATTCAGGGCAAGATAGTGACAACTGTTTGATGAGAAAGTAGGAAATTAGAAAAAGAAAATGAGAAACAAGTGGCTGAACATGAAACAAGAACCATAGAAGAACAATAGACACACCAACACGTAAAACATGGAAGTTATGAGGAGCCAGATATTGTAAACTAGAGGGAGACAGACAGGCTACAGTGGATTCTGGAATATGCAATACATGTCATATTGGACACAGCTAGGTGGCAGTTGTTGACCAAAACACGCAAACACACACAGACCTGTGTTTTTGTAACATGCCTCACATGGCTTATTTCACTCCAGGAGAGCAGAGAACTTGGCCCAGAGGCAGAGCACATCACTCTACAGCCCCTCTGTGTGGATCACAGCCAGATCCCCTGGACGTTCAAACACAGACTAAATCTAAACCTCTGTAGGTTTATATCAAATTGCATTTACTTATACTACATGCAAAATAATTTCTTTGTTGTCTGTAGTCGAGTTAATCTGCTAAAAAAGTCCAAAACGAATCAGATTCAAAAGAAAATGACATAGAGACCTGAATATCAATGAATGTTCCCTTGGTTACGCAGCCTGCGGAAGCAAGGGTCTGTGGCTGAGCTGAATATCGATGAACAACGGACCAAAGCCCTTATAAAGAACCATTATAAAGAACAGAAAGCTGTATCTTAGGCCGCACAAGGAAGTCCTTAGCATGCCTACAAATGCAAACACAGAGATGTGAAATTAAAACCAATGTAGGAGGCTTAAAGGTCGGTTTACCTGAACAACGTTGGACGTAAGAGGAGTTAGTGAGAACAGGCATGTTGCACTTCTCATTTCCCAAAGTTTCAAAGGGAAGCTGATTAGAATAAGGAAGTGCTCCAGTGTTTCAGAGGAAGTACTTGAGCTCAGGCAGAAAACTGGGACATTGTGGAGCAGGTGATGGTGCTGTTGTGTTTAATTTGTCTTATTTTTTTTCAAGACCCAGGCCTTCAAATTCCTGTTAGATAGGGACAATCTTTTCAATGACTTAATCTAAAAATGTTAGTTAGTTAATGATGATAAGATGCAGGGAAGATGCCATAAAGCCTTTTAACAACACACAACACCAGACTGGGTGACCTCATTGTTACTGTGAAGCAATCTCCTGACCAAATATTTGTCTCCATAACAACATTTCTGAGCAATATCCAGCATGTCGGGCTGTCTGCATCAGGCATTCCATCACTATGAAGATAAACAAACTACAATGACAATCTCAATCCAAACACGTCCGTCAGGTTCAGATCTGTCGAATAAGAAGAACATCGACTGACCACGTCAGTGTTTGCTCTGACCAAACCAAAACAGGGGCTCATCCACTTTCAGGGATGCAGGTAAATGCATGCTGTCATTTGGGCAGATGTTCTGCAGCACTGACCTCCCTAAATATTTAAATTCACTTGGCTCAGCACAAGAGAGAGAAACGACACCCCCCCCATCTGTCTTCCACCCATCCTTCTCAGTAACAGCGTGTGACTACTGGAACTGCCAGGGACATCTGGGCCATTTCAACAGGTCGGTGACCTGACGCTGCCACTCTCCCTCTCACTTACCCGAGGGCATTGAAAAGACAGCGTGAGGGGAATAAATACTTGACTTTACACACTATTAACTTCATGAGCCAGAAGAGACATTGGAAATAAATCAATATATAAAATGTTTAAGTAAAGTAAATAAAACACATTATATCAGAGAGAGCAGATTTAATATTTACTTAATGACATGAAGCAGGCCTGCTCTCTGTGTTGCGACTACATTTTCATAAACAAAGGAATTCTTGAAGCTCGCCCCTGAAGCTATGACCGTTGCATAACAACCCTTGAAACAGAACAAAGGCATGTTAGAATGAAAACATAGGTGTAGTACTATATGAAGAAATGAAATACAGGGACTCTCACTAAATAATCTGTCAGGTTCTTTCCTATCTTTATTCAAGAGCTCAGATTTAGCAATGCTTTCACTCAAAACCATGTGCTTCTCAAGTAGCCCTTGCTCGTGCCTAGATCTGCTCTACATGTGCTCATATTGATTCCCTCCGATCCAGATTGAGCTCTTGTTATCGTGCTCACGCTGCTGCTGCTGCTGCTCTCAAATCAAATGGATGCAACGTCTGTGAAAAATACTCCGCAACCAATGGAATTCCAGGTGTTGTGTTGAAAAATGAAATAGTGTAGCTCTCTTGCTTGTTAGCTTTACTTCTTTAAGAATGCCATAAGAGAGTACAGGAACAAATTTAAAGCATTACCAAATCTGAACGTGAAATCATTAAGTCTTGCTCTCCATCTGAAAGACTCCGCTCTTGAATACAGATAGGAAAAAAAACACTTTTCCAAGTGTCTCATTCAGTGTCTTCCACACGGCCAATCTACTCTCTACCTTATCTGCCTTCCTACTTTCCAATGTCGCCCTTGTATCAGACTGAGCTCAGGTGGGACAGACTTGTTCTGGAGTATGACGTAAACCCTCAGAGATTCACAAGCTGTTCTTTCCAAAAATATGCAACACGGGAGAAACAAAGACGTGAGGTGAGTGAAACAAACAGGAGAGGAACAGACACTTTTACACTTTACTTTTGTGAGAACTCCAACTCCAACTGACTTAGTTCGTAGGAATGTGCACCTGAAGTCCTGTGCAGATGTCAACTCATGACGATGAAAACTCATTTTTCTCCTCATGATATTAGACCATTACGTAATCATTCTTTATTCATACTTTACTGAAGTTGCTTCAGTGATTGACATGCATATTCAGTGAGGATCCAGTGATCAGTTCTCCCTCTCAGCTTCCTATTTGTCTTTCCACTCAACACAAAGAAAGAAGGCATGTGAGGCCACCCCGGGGAGACACGTTGTTCTAACACAGTGCTTGCATCTCTCTTCTCTGCCTCTCAGGAGACAAATGAGGGCAGTATCCTCAGCCAAACCCACCTAGTGAAAAAAAGTTGTTTTACAGGGCATTATGGTTCTTAGCTGACTTTACCGTAAAGGCGGTGCTTTGTTTTCTCGGCCAGGTTGGCAGGATGAGAGGCTGAGCTGGTTCAGGCTGGTTGCACATGTCACATCACAGCAGGATAAGAAAGATAGAAGTTCCCCCCCAGCACGATAAGATATCATTATGTGCTGCTGTGGCTGAGAATGGATACACACAGAACTAACGCTCGAGTGGACTCTTCTATTAACACGTTATTACACACAGTAAATATTATGTATTTACATTCATAAATGTTACAAGCATTACATGTGTCAGCTTGGGAGGTGTTGCAGAGTGTTTAAAGCAACACTACGTAGCATTTATACCTTAGGATAACAGCTTCAAAATCATTCTGATGGTACATACACTTGTAATAGGCAGGATGGCATGTCTGTCATTACCACAGCGCGCCCTGGATGCCTAGAACTGCATCATGTAACTCTGGGGTACCGTGCTGGAACATTACGACCTGCTTTAAGGCATATGTCACACACCAACAGTCAGAGCTGGACCTAGCAGCTAGCTGTAAGAGACAACTAGCTTACAATTTTGTGTGGACGTCCTGGCAGAGCCACCGAAGAAAACGAACAGGACATTGTCAGAGGAAACAAAGAAGAGGAAAGGAGAAAGTGGCCAAGTAAGAAACTGAACAAGAGTGAATATTGGAGCATATTTCACTAATTGGTGAGCTAAAGCAGGCCAAAAGATACAGGACAGATGCCGACCTGGTGTTGTTATTATTCGAGAAGTAATTCAGAACTTAAGCTTGTTTGCTTTATCTTGTGCTGTTCTGCTTGCCTGACATTGTTGACTCACTAGTTTATCATCAGAAGCCAGGTAAACTCATTTCAATAGAGGTTTAGCTGGTAAGTTCGCCAAACGATTCAATGTGATTCGATGCACATCTTGCTCGGACATTGATAACTGTGTCGGCTCCTTGCATGCTGTGTAAGCTTTTATGCTACTCTACTGATCTGAGCTGAATGTAGTGAATGAGCAAGCATTTACAGCCAGACCTGAAAGAGTGTGCGAGTGCAAATGCAAGTGTAGAGCTGTGTGCATGGGGGTGGGGGGGGGCTCGGACTGCAAACACCCGATTATAGCAGAGAGCAAATCTTACATTTTATCGCTTTAAGGGTGTTGATCTGTCCTCATGCACAGCAGCATGCTGACCAAACACCTTAGAATGACTCCTCAGCACAACCACAGTCCAGTGAGACTTAGGCCCTTCATCCCATATTAACCTTGCCTGCTCTTAATGCTTACCTATATTATATATATATAATATTAAGTACAGCATAAACATGTAATGCCCAGCATATGAGAAAGTAACTTTTTGATGTTAACAAATATATTTGCATAACACATTAAATCAAGAATCGTCTCTCTTATAAAACAAGCATCCAATTCAGTATAAACAAGTATATCTGCCCTGAAATAAAATCCTTTAAGACAGCATTCTTGGCCTCACCTCCTCTGCCACCCCAAGCTGAGCTCAGCGAGAGGTTCACTCGGGGAAACAGCAGAGGGAGGTGGGGAGAGTTATAAAACCCCACCAGGGAAAATAATGAGGAATTATTATTTTGTTCTCCATCTGGATTTGTAGAGTGGACCGTACCTGTCCAGTAAGCTCTCTGTAAACCCTGGAGGCCCTGGCCCTCTTCTAATCCCACTGTCTGGGTTTTGCCTGCATAGCTGTGTCTTACAGACACAAATCAAAAAACTACGACAGAAAAACACATTGAGTGATGCCTAAAAATGAATGCGACTCAAACCAGAGGAAATGATCGCAGGAAGCTTGAGGGAGTCATGAGGCGCCACTAGTTTACGATCACCTTTCAGAATATCATCCACACTTTCTGTAGCAGTGTTATAATAGACTGATGTGCAATGAAATACAAGAAATAGAAAGACGAAGCAGGAGACCGGGTGAAGAATGGCACAGAAAGTGTAGAGTATGTACTGTTCTGAAACTAAAATGTTATTGTAAAATAAAATATATTCACATACAAAGACCAGTTTTGAGTTTTCCTTGTAACTAGGGGTTGCTGTTCTTCTCCAAAGCCTTTACCAAGGTAAAGCCTGACCCACCAATATGAGCCTTCCACAGACATTTCACTATCAGTGTTTGCTGTATGTTTGCAAATGTGTACTAATATGAAATGTTTTATTTTAAAGAATAAATTATGCCAAAATGATGTGTATATTTTTGCCTATTTAAACAAAACTGTATAGTTGTAATAAGCTAGCTTGCTCGCTGATACCAATATTGGCATCAGCCCCCAAAATTCCTTATTGGTCCGGCTCTGAAGAGGATTGTTCTTGGCCACAATTGAGAAAAATAAAATATTTGAAGCTTAATTTATCCAACAAGGACACTATTCTTAATATGTCTGAGAAACCATTTGCCCAATGCAATCAAATGAAAGAATCCTCTGTTCGCACAATATACTGTAAGTTATGGGATCATGCTATGAAGGGAACCCCCCCTGCACTGTGTAACTGAAGAAACACTGTTGTGTGCTTCTTTAGTTAAGACACATGACAAGCTATTCACCATATCTAAAAGATGCAGAGAGAACTGAGAAAACAAGGGGCACTAAGTTTGTGAAGGAGACACTGTGAGGACATAAAGAGGACAGAGGGGAGAAAGAGATACAGTGATATGGATACATGGAACAGAGGAAAAGAAGAGGAAATCACCAGAGAAATTTAGAGGAAGAGGGGTGTCAGTGTGACATCCTGCAGCCGCGAGGCAGCAGGGGTCTGTCCAGTGAGCCTCTGTGACAAGAGCCAAATCTGGACAGTAGACAGAGACTGCTGTTGTCCAAAGCCAAACCAAGCCAAGCTAAACTAAAGGCATAGAGCAAATCAGGCTTTGACTAATGGATGATTCCCCTTCGGAAATGTTGGAAAGTCCCCTTTTCTCTGCAACTGAACTTAAAATCAAAACTGGTCACTGATAATGTGATCAAGGGTTTCCTGTGTTTACGGAGTGCAACACTGATGCTTCAACAGTTGTGCACATGAACATATACTTGTATTAAAAAAACATTTTTAAAAAGGGTCACTTTGCCGTTGTGCCCTCTGGTTTTGGTTTTCCACTCCAGTTCCCTCAGCTGGACTTCTGTGACACAAGAGTCCATGACAGATTTTTCAGAGAGTACTTTTTTCCAGCTGAGTGGCTTTCTCTCATTTCGTGAGCACCACACTGTTATCTATGAAGCGTGGGCTGTGCAGGTCCATCTCTCTTCCAAATCACTTTCTAATGGCGAGGAGGAAAGTGACTTCAACATTTAAGAATAGTACATGGTGAGCCATTATTTTTGTAAGTTGGCTTTTAAAAAGAGAAATAAGGCCGTAATGATAGAGAGACGGTGACTTGGTTCCATAAAAAGGATTCACTAAGTCACGTTCTCTACTTCTGGCGAGACTTTGGGTGAATCTATATTTACTCAGCAGTGACCTCAGTAGAGTAAGAATTGAGGGATTAGAGGGAATGGTTTTCTTCATTACTTTTACACCACCGTTTCTGTTTTATTTCACTCTATACTGCTGTGTAAACTAAATATCTAATCTACTGCACTCAAATCATGTTGAGTTATTAAAAAAAAAGATGTCTCACCGATTTTCTCTCAGCCTTGAGGTCCTGCAGGTAGCGTGACAGCTCGGTGATGATTTGAGATGTTAAGTTCTCCGCTATGACCTCGTGTTGTCCTGCATAGTCATTTAACTCATTAAGTGTTGTCAGGAAGGCTCGACAGAAGGTGTACCTGTTGAGACACAGGAGAACATGTTAGAGAAAATGGTAAATGGTCTGTATTTATAGAGTGCTGACTACTCAAAGCTAATTCAGTGCATCTATGTGCACCATTTGTCTGTCATAGTGAAACGTGGCTCAGAAATGGTAATAGTCTATCATAGATCTATCATTCACTGCTGGCAGAGCCGTCAGAGGCGATTTGGGATTCATTGTCTTCAAGGACACTTCTGGTCAGACAACGACGTGCTCTATCTCCTGAACCACACTCGCCCAAGATAAAGACAGTACAGTGGCCAATAAATTAAAACTGTTCCAAAATATTTAAGATTCAGTTTGGAACTGATTTGAGATTTTAAAGAAACCTTGGAAAAACTTGCTTTCTGGAGAAGAAGTTGGTCAATACAACTCTCATATGTCTGTTGAATACAAATGTATGTATATATATATATATATATATACCTTTACCTTTCAGGCACTGTTTCGGTGATTGTCGTTTATATATAACAGACAGAAACGAGAGTGGTACTGATCTTTTTTAAAGTTATGTGTGGTATCCTTTGACTCACTTGCTCTCCTCCTCTTCTCGTGAGTTCTTCTTGGGTTGATACTTCTTTGATAAATTCCTGCAAGGACAAAGAGTTCAGCATTGTCAGACATTTCTTTCTGTCTATCGCTCCTAAGAGCCCAGTCTGCAGATGGGAAATGCACCATTCCCATTATATTTCCCTGACACGGCCCTTAAGAACCTGCCAAAGGATCATCCAGAACACCATTCAATCCGACAGAGTGCTTTCTGTTCCTGCTACTACATTGCCTTCCTCTCCTAAGGGTCATAAATCATCGCCCCCAGGAGAATGCATGGAAACCCAGTCACCAGAAACAAGTATGCTTTTCTCATGCAGCCATTGCCCTTGTTTTGACTTAGGCTGTGTGACAGTGGCATGAGATGAGTGCGGCTTGAGGAGGAGGAGAAGGAAAAAACGACATGTATGGTGTCACTATGCTGGCTGTAGGTGAAGCGGTGATGCTTTCAATGTCCTTCTCTCCACTTAGTTGTGTTGTTTGTCAGACTACAATTGATCATGTCACATTTGTTTGATCTTGACAGTGTATGTCAGCAGAACATAATAATAAGCACTCTGCTCTGACTGATTTGGGTGCACATTGTGTACTTGTGCCTTCTGGATCCTTTGTGTTATCAAAGAGCACTGTAGTCAAGTTAAAATGAGTAATGGTGCACGTAGTGCACGTACAAACAAAAAACGACAAACACAAACAAGACAAACCACTGATTTTAAGTCTTACCAGAGCTTATAAGAAATTAATGTTTAGACAAACCTCAATAAAAGTTGTGAAATTATGTACAACAATCGTAAAGCAACACTAGGTAGTTTTTATACCTTAAAATAATTGTAATATATATCACAAACTCATAACAGGAAGAATTAATACGTAACACACCAACAAGCAGAGCAAGAGCTAGCAGCTAGCTATAAGTGACAACTAGATTACCAATCTAAGTGTGGATTATGGCAGAGCCACGGAAGAAACTGAAAAGGACGTGTCAGAGGAAACAAAGAAGAGGAACAAAGAACCTGACAGAGTAAGAAACTAAACAAGATTGAAAATTGGAGGATATTTCACTCATTGGCCAGAGCTAAAAGAGAGTATCTTCTGCTGTTCCACTTGCTTGACCTTGGGCTGTCTAAATGAAGTGGTCGAAGTGCTAGTTTATCATCAGAAGCCAGGTAAACCCATTTCGATAAAGGTTTAGCAAGTTAGCCAAACATCCGATGTCATTTGATGCACATTAGGCGGACATTGACATCTGCATTGGCCGTTTGTCAGTCGACATGCTTCTACGGCTTCTGCCGGTTTATCCTCCGTCAGCTTGTCAACAAATGCATGTGTGCACAGCTGTGTGCATGGGGACGCTTAGATCGCAACTTGTACTTATGACAGTGAATTACACATCCCACCTATAGGGGGAGCCTGAGTATATCTGAGATCAAATCTTGCATTGTGTTGATTGAATACATCTTTAAAAACACTCCACTTTTCCAATCAGCATCCAAATGATTAGCGAGTCAATGTATATTACTTAGAAAGATCTGGTGATAGTCAGGGCTAGTTGCCCTTGTTGCGAGATTATAGCACTTTACTCACTGATGGAATGTAAATGCCTCAGCATGTACATCTTGTCAAATATCGCATATGTAAAAAAAAAAAAAGGTGTACTCTGTGTCCTCCTCCATCCGGCTCTCTCTGCCCACAGCCCCCCATATCTCTCCTCCTCCTCCCTGGTGGTGTTTGCACTGTTGCTAGGCAGATCTATCTGTCTATATCTCTCGTTGTCCTTCTCAGCCCGTCTCTAATTATAGCCCTGGTTCCCACTCATTCATTCATTCGCAGTCAGATGTCAACTGTCACACTGTATAAGGTTGCTGACCGTAACTATGGATTTATAGAATTGTCAAAATTACAGTGGCGGTTCACACTTGACTGGGATTAAGTGTATATTGGTGCATGTGTGTCATGAGGTTATCTCTGTGCCAATGTGTATGTCTCTTTCTGGTAAATGATTGAGTAAGAGTCTTACTGAAAACCTACTGAAAGAAAATGTCCATAAATATATAGATACTATAACCCCAGACTTGTTTTTTCTTCATCCTCACCCTGTCTCTTTTGTTAGCAGGGCCTTATTCCCACTGTGTTATGGATTATTCCAGACTGGAATTTGTGGGAGGAGACAGGGGAGGAGGAAGAGGAGGAGGAGGCGGCATTAATACATTGCCCTGCAATGGCTAGACTGAAGCATTGTGCATGTTTACACCGATGCAAGAGAAGAGGATTAACTGTGGATTAGGGCAGTGGGGAGTTGGTGTGGTGATTGAAAGGATAGATGCCATTGAATTGGCAGAAAATGTGGACTACTTCTTTATTTTAAAAACTGTCTTTGCAATTGTGTGAAAAATAAAAGCAAAAAATCCGCCAAAGAAAAAAGCTAAAACCACATGTTTGGCTTCTGTTCTTGAAAAAAATGACAAGTGCTAATCATTTATCTAAAAAGCAGCTGATTACTATTTTGTAAGTCAACTAACTTAGTTAGTTAACTAAAATTATTAATTTTGCCAGTAAGCATCAAGGCCAGTATCTTATAGGTATATTCATACAGATACATTTGGTTTTAAAACAGTGTTTTATGATCTCCATCCACACCAATGTTTTAGCTCTGCATCTGTAATAATCCCAATCCAAACTAACAAGCCTGAAAATGTATATCACATGACCACTTGCAAACACAGGCAGGTGTAAACAGGGAGGAGATACTCTACAATCTACTTACTTGCTTAGTTAAAGATATACTACGAACAAGAAAAAACAACAGTGAAAATTAACATGGGGGATTCAATTTCTTTGACCAAGGATGAGTTGGAACAGTAAGTGTTAACAACGTTTTGCCTTCAAAATTGATAGTTGACTCATAACTGATAAGAACCAATCAGGAAGCAAATCCGGCAGAGTTTAAAATCTAAAGACTTTTACAGTTTGACTCCAGAGTAGAGTGGATGGTAGGGGTAAATGTACCAGTATACAGGATACACCCCTCAGTAAAAATATCAAAAACACATGGATTTTTTTCTGTGACTGTGAAAAGTTCTATTGTCACTTAAATGGAAGGAAGAGACATCAAAATCTCCCCAACTACAAAGATGAGAGACAGGACGACTAAATCAAAATCCCCAAATATTTTAGTTTATTGGAACATAAGTTGATTAAAAGGGATAATTAGTTGGCCAAGTAGCACAACAACAAAGAAGTATAGTGTGTTAGAAACACAGGAAATCCTTATGACTCACACTATCCTTCCTGCACGTCCTAAATTCCTCATTTTAGCCTCTTCTGACAAGTGTACAAATGTTGAGATTTTGTACCGGGCTTTGTGTGTGTGTGTGTGTGTGTCTGCTAGATAACAGACCCACTTTGACAGCAGGACCTCTGGGTAATCACAGTAACTGAAAACATCCGCACCATCTGTGGGGCCTGAAGTTCAATAAAGCCAACCTGGCAAGATGAGTCCATCTCTGTCCTTTTGTCAAACATGCTGTAGACAGATGCTGACCATTTACATCATGGGATGTCTACATGTGTTCAAGTGCAAGTGTAAATATGGGAGGGTGTTTTTTTATTTGTCCAAACAACAAATTAGTCGGCTTTAAAAGGAAGTATTTAAGCTTTCATTTTCCACAATATCCAGATGTGAACAAATCCAAGCAAATAGAAAGACAAAAAAGAAACAGATAAATGAAATGGACAATATGTAACTTAATGGGAGAGCTTCAGCAACAGAAAAGACTGCAAACGGCAATGAATAATGGTGATAGGTGTAAGGAAAACAGCTGATTTGCTAAAAGTTTGTTTGTCAAACATTGTTTGCCAAAGAAGGTGACAGAGAAGAAGATGACTGAAACGTTCCATTACCAATTTCTCTTCATTTCAACATTGTTGGAAATTTTATTGTATTTTGGATGAGGTAAGTGTACATGTCAATGTTTTCCGACATTTAAATTAAGAATTGTTACATATAATATTTTTGAGGGATATCCAAACAATCCACAAATATAAAACAGCACCTGTAAGAACGTATGTATATTTCTTTTGGTTATGTGACTGTCATTAATTGAGGGTAATGCTAGCATGTAAACATAGTCAGCTAGTCCTATTATCTCAAGCTGACTTAATTCTCAAAAAGCGGACTTGTGGGGTCTGTAGAGGATCAGTTACAGTGGGTTACATTGGGAATGCTTGATTGGTATTGGCTAGTCACTATGGAATGGGGGGGTTGGGGGGGTCAATACTTAGAGCATTAGCCATATTGTAGTGGCCTCTTTAAAGATAAGGATTGTGGATTTGTCGGTATCTCCCACTGTGTCGGGATGCGGGAGGCCTGAAGGGATGGATGCTCGCTCACATCACTTCCCTTAAAAAACAGTGTGTGTGTGTGTGTGTTTGTATATGTGTGGAGCGAAGGGGGCGGGGCCGACACTTGTGGTTGGAGAGGGGGGGGGGGGGGGAGAAATCTGGGTCAGACCTGGGGTTGAAAATGCTGATACCTTCTAGTCTCCATGGTAACACAAGCTCCACCCCATCCCCCACAACCTGACTTCCTCTTCTCTGAGGCAGAATCCAGCGACAACAACAGACAGCACGCACACACAGGAGAGGTAGACGTAGTGATTCTTATAAAACCAAAAAAAGAGAAGGAGGGAAGAGGGAGCTGACGTCCTCCTCTACACTTGTAATAGTCAATTCTGTTTCACTGCAGGGCAACAACAGTGATTTTTAGTTGAATTTTAATTATAATATAACTCTTAAGACACAACACTCCATAGGGGAAATCTCATTTCATTTTCCCACTCCAGAGGGAGGTCAGAGGTCACGGTCAGCTTTATAATGAGCTGCTGAGGATCCTGTCTCTTGTTTCAAGGACACTTCAGTAGGTCAGATCCTGCCGTAGAAAGGGGGGGGTTCTTAACTAAGCCATCTGGATGTGAAACAGTCGATGTAACTATACTGCAACACAACCCCAAATATCAGGCTTTAGCACTCACCTAATTTGTTTTGCATAGTTGGTTTCGATCTCTGATCTCTCCTTGACAAATTTTGTGTACTTCTCCACAAATTCGATCCCCCACTGTGTGTGCTTCTCCAAGTTGTCAAACTGATCCTGTAGAAAAGAAGAAGACGATGTAATGATTAAATCATTCAAGTACAAAGGCATTAATCATTATTTACATTTCAGAAAGCGAATATCAAAAGATTTAATCAACTTGATGAGGATGATGCATAGCATTGTATGACCTATTGCATGTAGTCCATTCCAATTTACATCAAATACAATTAATCAAGGTATTTGAGTATTTAAGATGATGTCTGAAAATTAAACTCCAGCTTTGTGCCTCATTTGTTATGGAAATATTGTTCATAGGACTCCTCTCAACCAAACTAGTCAGGCATGCACACATATGTCAGTCAGTGTGTTTATTCTCAGTCACTGAACAGACAAAAGCATCTGGCCCACTCTCTTGGCTGCAGTTCAGACATTTAACACTTTCAACTTTGGCGACTTTGGCCCATGAATGACCCCGTCCACTGGAAATGTGATGACTATAAAAAAAACTGATGTGACAACAGAGTTCCTTAATCTGTTGTGAGGTCTGCCAAAGAAAAAGAAGAAAGCTTTCTCTGGTATTACATTAAAAGATGCACAATATGCAATATCCCCCTGCAGCACTGATCAGCACCAGTAGAATCTAATTCTGTGGGAAACACTGACGAGCCTAAAATCAGACACTAAGAGTCTACACTTCTGATAACCAAATACAGCTGTTCAGGCTGAACTCATTATTCATGATCCGCTCATGACATGTGAGGAAAAAATGAACCACTAGTTGGCTGAGGTCATGTTTTGAATTTCATCAGTTCAGAAAAGACAGCGTTTCACCTGGAATATCTATTACATCACACACACACACACACACACACACACACACAGTAAAGATTTACTGAAAATTATATGGTTACTTTTAACAATCGTCTTACGACAGTGTTGGTATAATTTATAGAGATGAACCAAAAAACAGAACGACCTTGGTTTGGCTCCAACAGTCCCCCATCCTTTCTTCTACCATGTCTGGATTCTTTCTAAGCTAATAGTTCTTCTTGCATGACACTGGAAACCGGTTTCAACTGATAGTCTTAGCAGATCGTGTGATGTACACTGTCACATCTCTGCTTTCGTATCCAATGCAGAGGAAGTGGTTGTGGCGAAAAACGTTCAAGATAGCCTACTCAGTACTGCAGCACTTTATTCATACCTATGTCTTTTTTAGAGGAGGGTTAAAATAAGAGCATGCTGAACACAATATAAAAATCTGTCGTATGGTCAGCATATGAAGTGTAAGATCTCTTTTACACCTTTGAAACTCAATTCACAACTTCCAAATGAAGCACTCAAGAAAAACAATAGGGAGTGCTTTGAGTGGGGAGGGGGGGTCCCAGTCTGCATTGTTAGTCAGTTTCAATGAGCAATCACTCATCAACAAGCCACTCAACAGGAGAATGACAAGATAAAACCAAACAATTAAGACAATTTTACTGAAGTACACAGGCCCCTCCTATGCCTCTTTGATGTTTTTCTGTTTCTCTGCTATCACACGTCGATTTCTTGTTTTTTCTCTCTTCTTCAACAAGCACCTCTTCCCCTTTAATTCTCAGGAGCATGCTCAGTCTCAGACACCATGTGCCAATTAAATTCATCAAACAGCATTTACTTCATAATCACCAAACTACAATTGCTCTGGGAGGAAAATGCTCAAACACGTCACTGCAGCCACATCATGCACATGAAATCCTCCCCTCACACACACACACGCTCCTCCGCACACATAACTCAGATTACCCTTTTTTGCAGTGGCACCATCTTATCCAGCGTGTGGGATGTGGACCCTTTGGAAACATCCAAATCTAGTAAAAGTCCATTCAACTCGTCTTCTTCCAGAACAAAGGGCTGAGGTTAGGGTAAAGAAGGCATCCACGTTTCCCAGGTATCCAAAGTGGAGCAAGTGCAGTTTAGTGAGAGTGGGTTGGGAACAATGTCCGCTGACCCCTCTCCCACTAGCTAACAAAGAAACTGTACAGAGGCAGCAAGTATTTTCCCAAATGTCTGGAAGAAGGAAGAAGAGAGCAAGGGAGGAACCGATGCAGCACAGCTTCACTCTCTCAAACACACACACACCACTCTGAATCTGAGGCCGCGGCTGCCCACAGCATTCAGGCTTAATGCTCCATCAGGCGTAAGGTGGAATAAGTGGGATGGGAGAGGAGGACAGTATGGGAGAGAGAGCGAGCAGAAAAACAGAGAGGGGGGGCTTGAAAGGACAGAAGAGGCGGGATTACATGGGAGGGGATTAGATTTGGAGGGGGGATAGCCTATTCTGCTGGGGCCTCATGAACTCTGTCGCTGCCTTTGTTGTATTTTAAATGTGATAAACATACAGTATATATATATATTGATGAAATGAGACAACACCATAAAGGTTATGATCTGTAACATGATGAGTCACGGAGCCCATGAATCTTTGCTGATGTCGGATGGGACAGAGAAGGCAGGTACAAGAGTAAAATGGAAAATCCACCACACACAGATGTTCCCCAGCAACAAGAGAGAGAGCAGATTAATAAATGATGTATCAGAGGGAGGGCTATATCAGAGAAGACAAAACTGTGTCAGACACAGTAAAGTCGTCTCGTCTGAGCCACTCTAGCTTGTAAAGGACCTTTCCCCATACAATTTATACATTTTGAGAGTAGATCACAAATCTATAAGTAAATGGTTGGAATTCAAGACAGAGAGGACAAAAGCTAGAAAATTCAGAAATGAAACAATTAGCAATGATTACCTCCAAAAAATAAATAAATAGATTATCATGAAACTTGGTGTAAGGATGGGACATGGGCCAAGAAATAATATTTTGGGGCAGATACAGGAATTATTTTAACATTGCAAGATATGGTGTTTTACTACATTTTCATTAAGACTAATTGATGGATCTGGATGAGAAGGGACTGATATTTATGAGTGTGTGCAATGTGCTACAGATGCAAATAAAAATATGGCTCCAGTGAATTTAACTGTGGTTTCTGTTTATGGTTGTATCTAGTTTGTATCATTGTTAAATATGTATTGTTTAATGATAAGATAAAGTGCAGATTAATTGAAACTGAAAAGAATAAATTGCAGCCCTGAAAAACAGAAATGCTAGACCGAAATTACGAAAGTGATGATGAAAGATTCAAATGAAGGGAAATATAAATAAAAAACATGAACTGTATTGAAATGTTATGATGCAGCTTCTCAACATTGCTAAATGTACCATGATCCTGTTAACTATAAACACAGAGGCTGAGCTACATAGTTTTCCATTCATTTAATTTATCTTCAGTTTTCTGTTTCTTGAGAAGCAGGGTGCCAAGGACAGATGTGACTATTCTCTTTTATAAAAATATTCTCAGAGGGAAAAGATCAATTTCAAAAAGTGTGTAAAATGAATCCCTTTTCCAATTTATCACGTTAACATGTTTGCACTGTCTGCAAATTATACAGTCAAAAAGTCAAACCTGCACATAGGTTTTTGTGACCCCCCTTCCTTATGGGCCTGTTACCAAAGACTAATAATTCCTGCTCCTGCTCTTACTTCCACTCTGTCATCTGGGGCCTCCTGACACCTGACCTTGTTTCTGCAGGAGGGAATGAGCGGGGGATCCCATCAGGGGACAGACCAGCCCCACTCTGCTTGTTATTTCAGGATACAATCCCACTCACTGTGATGAGCGTACTATTGTGGTAGTACATGAAGGAAAATAAATATAACTACTTAGCAAAATATTTTTTACGATCCAGGAAATGGGAAGCAGGCTCAAACTGAGTACAAAGGAGACATGTAACCTTACAGTTAGTGAACATAAATGTAGGTTGCTCATGTGCCGTATAAACAAAACACAAATACGCGTTTGTTGAAGGATCAGCATCCTGACCTCCAACCCTTCCCAACTGCTGATGGGGATTATGGTGCAAGTTTAATGTATTGGACTGCCGGTTAATCTGAACTAATGCACATTATTTAGCTACCATTCCAGATCAGAGACATACCATAGGGCCCATTGACCTCTATCCCTACAACAGGGGGCTTCTCTTTTCTCTCTGTTTAACACAAATGGAATAGAACAAGACAGAGATGAGACTGGAGCAGACAAGCATGGTCTCATGAGATTTCCATGTCTTGGTCATATATGCCCCACAACAGCTACAGTTAATAATCAATGAATGGTCATTATATGTATCTTTAGGAATACATCTTTAATATTTAAATCAGTCTGATTTAAGAGTTAGTAAAATTGTACAGCCTAATGCTAATATATTATTCCTGGCTGTTACAAATGTATAATAAACTATTCTATGTTGACAAATGTAAATTAATAAAAGTAAAATAAAATACTTCTAACTTTCCCTTAATTTATAGCTTATCTAACATGATGGAGATAATAAAATACACATGTGCTTTAGCAATCTGTGTAATTTTCACTCTCAGAAAAATATAGTGACGCTTGACCACAAATCCAGTACATATCTTAGTTCCAGTTTTTCAAACGTTCTGTTCTCTTTTCTACCACAGAGGGCAGTATAGAGTAATAACGGTCCTTCACAGTTAGCAGGAATTGGGATTAGGAAATAAAACACAAGATAAAATCATCTTTTCAAGACATACAAGAAAAGATAACGACCTTCAAAAACAGACTGTTTTGCTTGATTAAGAAAAGTCATAAGATGACTTTAAACAGGACTGTGTTGTTTTAAAACCTCTGAACAAATGCTCCAGGGGACATTTCTTGTTTTATTGCAGCTTTACCACCTCTGCAAGGTTGGTTTGCTGCTCTGGTGATCACAGCAAAAATCAATACACCATTAGAAACACCAGAAGAGAGAAAATAATTAGCTGTTTCATTGGTCAGCTGCAAGGAATATACAGGTTACAGGAAAAAGAAATTGCCCACTAATTTCTTCATAAATATGTTAATGCAGACAGCCATGCTGCCCACCCACATGTATGAACCATTAAAACAAAAAACCATTCAAACATACTTCAACTTAAATTTATTCCATCATTA